TGACCCCCCTCACTCCCTATCGCAGATCCCTGTCACGCCTGTCACCCAACTTCCGTCCCTTGTTGCGCCGTCACCCCCACCATCACCCACCGCAGCCCCCGTCACAGTCCCTCATTACCCACTGTCACCTCATCACCTCTTGTCACCCCCAAGGGGGGGCCCTGGGTGGAGGAACGGCTCCCCAGGTTCCTCTGGAGGGACTTCACAGAACCACAGGCTGGCTGAGCTGAGGCACCAGAGCCGGTTGCCCAGGACAGTGCCCAGACAGCTTGTGAAAACCTCCACACACGGAGACTCCACAACCTCCCCGGGCAACCTGCGCCAGTGCTGGGTCCCCCTCACAGTCAAAAAGGGTTTCCCGGTGTTCAAAGGGAGCCTTCAGTGTTTCAGTTTGTGCCCATTGATTGTGATCTTGGCACTGGGCACCACCGAGAAAAAACTGGCTTCTTTTTGGCATCCTCCCTCCAGTCCCTCATTCATCTTTGTGGCCCTTTGCTGGGCGCCCCCCCGCCCCGTATGTCACGGTCTCTCTTGCACTGAGTAGGCCAGCACTGGACACAGCACTGCAGGGGTGGCTCCACCATTGCTGAGCAGAGGGGAAGCATCCCCTCCCTCCACCTCCTGGCAATATTTTGCCTAAGGCAGCCTGGGACACCATTAGCCTTCTTTGTGGACCGTGTTCAGCTTGGTGTCCACCAAGACCCCGGGGTCCTTTTCAGCAAAGCTGCTTCCCAGCTGGGTGGCCTCCAGTATATATTGGTGCCTGGAGTCGTTCCTTCCCAGAGGCAGGACTCTGCATGTCTCCTTGTTCAGGAGAACTTCAGGAGGTTCCTACTGGCCCGTTTCTCCGGCCTGTCCAGGTCCCCCTGGATGGCAGCATGACCCTCTGGAGTATCAGCCACTCTTCCCAGTCTGGTGTCATCTGCAAACCTGCTAAAGGTGTGCCTGGCCCCATCATCCAGATCATTAATAAAGATTATTGGAATGTCACTGCTTTACCTAATGCAGAGCCCGAGAGACCACTCACCTTCTTTGCAGCAAAGGCAAGTCACTGGCTCATGTTCAGCTTGGTGTCCACCATGACCCCCAGGTCCTTTTCAAGAAAATCTGCTTCCCAACAGGACAGGACCCCATATTGACCCCTGGGGTACATTGCTAGTGACTGGCCTCCAACTAAAGTTCATGCCACAGATCACCACCTTCGGGGCCAGTTTTCAGCCGTCTCCTCCTGGTGCCCGGTGAGTTGCAGGGGAGCTGCCAACTGCAGCCCTTCCCCAAGCCCTTCTCAACCAGGTGCAGCTGGGTTTCAGCACCAGCCACCAGCCCATGAAGTGACAGAGAAGAGCATGGGACATGGGTTGCTTGGTCTTACCCTGGTGCTGCTCCTGACTGGCCTCCAAACATCAGCTTAGGCTTAGCTAGAAGTTAGAGTTGGCTCCAGGCTGTTTCATGCTGTCTACCAAGGAGCCTTTCCAGCCATTAGGTCACAGGGCCACCACTGTCCTTTTCTGTAGACATGCGCTTTCAAGTCAAAACCATGGTAAGGTTGGACCCTTCAAACTGCACGTAGATTTTGCACTCCTTGGTATTGCTATTAATGGGAAAAGCAGCACTTGGTAAGCAGAGGAGAGAAGCCCCAGGCTGCTCTCCCTGCCAGAATTACATAAAGAGATGATTTTATTTTCCTTTGGGTGCTAAGAAAGGAAGAAGAACCACAGGGTCCTCAATTCACAGGGCTAAAGCTGACATGAATGCTGGGCTTTGAGGTTTTAAGGAAACGTAAGGAAAGTTTCCCTGGAAAGATAAGCACATGGCATCAACTGTGCACTGCAAAACCCAGTGAGCTTTTCAGGTGCCCAAGACTGAATGATGAGAAAACCCAAAGAGACTTTATCATTTTATACTTTGGGTCCTGACCAAACATTGTGAAGGCAAGACTTTCTCAGGATCTTTGGAAAACAAGGAGGATGTGTTCAAACTGCTCACTCTCCCAGGGCACTCAGCACTGGAGGGAAAAGGCAAGCTCAACACCCACTCCTACTAAACCTGCCTTAGCAAAGCAAGAGGAAAATCAGCTGTCCTTGAGGAAGTCTGCCATACCCAGAGTCCAGCTTATTGGCCTCTTCCCACCAAGACTGCAGAACGAAAATGACCATCTCCTAGGACCTGGAGGAGATGCAGAAATGCATAAGTAGAGCAGTCAGCCCTTGCATAAACTAGAATTTATGACAGCATATGCAAAGGCATTGAGTCAAGGTTTAAATAGGTGCTGTGATACCAGCATGTGCACATGGCTTTTTTGCAGAGCAAGAGAGCTAGAGCTGCACCGCTACACAGCTGAGATGTTAATCTCTCCCAGTAAATTCTGCATGGGACCACAGTAAAATCCTGTGTTAAAAGGGAGATTTGCATTTCACAGGGTACTGCTGTTTGGGCATTGGTTCTCAAACTTCAAGTTGGCTAAAATTTTTCTGAAGGATCATTATCCCAGTGGAATACACCAGGTTGTCAGCAGTTTCATCACCGGTGGCATCTTCCTCGGTGCTTTCCAGCGGGTTGCAGGCAGGCTACCAAACCGGCTTGCCAGGATGATTTCTGGCAGGAAAGCCAGCCAGTGTGCTTCCAGCTCCTTCAGCTGAAGTCTTGGCTGCCTGGCTGAGGGAACCGGGGCTGCCTGCTGGTTTCTGATGCTGCCCAGTGCTTCCCACAGCAAAAAGCTCTGTTTGCAGTTGCAGGGAACTTTGCCAAGTTTTACCTACTTTCTCTGAAATTATAGTGAGCTGTTTTTATTAATATTATTACCATTTTCAAATCTGCCCAGAAAGGTCCAGCTGTTTCCCAGAGCAGAGTCAGGAAAAATATGTTTTTGGCCATTAAAAACACCTGGAGATCTTCTACTGAAGGTACGCCAAACCTCTGGAGCCTGGTGCTTGGCAAAGGAAAAATATTCTGGGAGAGATGTACTGAGTTTCCTGCTGACCTTTGAAAAGCTTTGTGCAGCTGGGCAGAGTGATAAACTTCTTGAAATCTGCACCCCATGTTCCTGCAACTGCAAAACCTCTGGCACAACATAGCTGGACCCTTCAGAGATGCCATCCCTGCACACCATCTCATCATAGTTCCCCTGGGTCACTCAGCTGCCTCTCCCCATCCTACTAAACCATGAAATACTGGCTATCTCAGGCTGGAGCATCACAAAATGTGGGCCTGTGCAGAGACCGACAGTCTGGTGTTACAATTACCTCTGTGGTCTTAATCACCCAGCTCACACAAGCACTGCTTTTAACACAGCTTTTAATTCATGACCGCATGTTAAGCTTTTTTATGGGCTACCCGTCCCACCCTGCATGCAAAGAGGACCTCCAGGCTGTGTCACATATGTGCTGTCCCCAACTCCTCATCTCAGAATGCTTGATTTCTGGCATTGAGTTCTGTATGTGATGAAGATCCTGCAATGAGGGGTTCCTTGAGAAGGCCAGGAATCCTCCCATGGATCAGATGCAGTTATGACTCAAGATGTGGTTTGAAGATGAGTTTTGACATGTTCTGGCCAGAAATAGGACTGGCATTGCCAGGGCATTGATTTTTTCTTCAGTTTATATAATTAGGTTGACTTGCATCCCTCATCCCAGAAAAGCTGTGGGGATGCATCACTGGCCACATCATCAAGTTTTGGGGGAGAGATGCACATTTAAACAGACCTGCCACCCACCGCCGTTGGTCCTGAGCATCCAGTACAGGGAAGTCAGAGCACATCACTGTGCCATGGTCTGGGTCCAGCAACAAGGACACTTAGGAATGATGCTTCACACCTCCACAAAGCTCCTGAAATTAGGCATGCCTGTGGTGGCAGGTGCCTTCAGGAGTGGTGCTACTGTTCCTTGCAGTTTTACAGCCAGACTGTAATAAAACAGAGTCTCTAAGAGGAAGATTGCAGCATCACAGGCAGAGGAACTCCCACCATCCCAAATGTGAGGGGGAGGCCGGTGTTTGCCTGAATCCCAGCTTCACCATCCAGCTGACGGGCCGGATCCTGCCTGGCATGTCTGGCAAGGAGGAGCCAGGAGGCAGCACCTTGCCAGGACCTTCTGGTAGCAGGCACCCCAAGAGCAGGAGCGACGCACACCCCAGGAACCCAGGGTTCCCCCTTCGGCATCGCAACCCTGTGTCACTCTGGCCAACCCCCTGCAGATGCGTTTGCACTGCACATGCCTCACTGGGGGCTCTGGGACCCCCCTGGGCTGCAGCACCTCGGGCAGAGGCCAGCTGGCTCCCCCCATGCCCTTCCAGCAGCACCCTTCTCTCACGTCAGAGGCGTACAGGACCCCCTGGGACCCCCGCGTGGGTGGGGAAGCAGGGCCTGAGCTGCGTGTGTGCGTGCGCGCATGTGTGACCTCGTCTCAGTGTGTACGTGCGCGTGTGTCCAGGTGTGTGTGCACATGTGTGTGTGCGCATGTACGTGACGCCCCATGTGTATCCATATGTGCACGTCTGTGTGTCCCTGTGCCGTGTCCCCCCATCCCCCTGTCCCCGTGTGCCCACATGTCCCGTGCCCCCTGTCCCCGCATCCCTCCATTCCCCATGTCCCCCGATGTCTTGTGTCCCATGTCCTGTGCCATGTCCCATGTCCACCTGTGTCCTCGTGTCCCCTGTCCCTGTGCCCCTGTATCCCCTCATGCCCCCGTCCGTGTCCCCACGTCCCTCTGTGTTCCTGTGCCCCCCCTCCCCGTGTCTCCCCATGCCCCCTGTCCCTGTATGTCCCCATCACCTGTGTCGCATGTAGTGTGTCCGCCCAGGTCCCCGTGTCCCATGTCCCATCTCGCCCCCATGTCCCCTCATGTCCCCATACCCCCCCATCCCTGTGTCACCTATGCCCCATCCCTATGCCCCCCTGTCCCCCCGTCCCCCCGTGGTCCCCTGTCCCACCACATCCCCTGCCCTCCGCGCCCCCGTCCCCGTGTCCCGCACCCCTCCGTGCCCCGCCCCGCCGCCGTTGCCAGGAGCCGGCGATGGCGGAGCGGGGCCTGGCGGCGCTGCCGCTGCCGCAGCTCCGGGCGCAGCTGCGGGAGGCGCGGTACCGGCGGCCGGGCGGGGAGGGGGGGGTCCTCGGGCTGCGGGGCGCTGCTGGGGGCCGGGGCTGGGGGCGCGGCTGGGCCTCGCACCCCAGGGTGGGCCGGGCCGGGTGCCAACGGCCGCCCCGGCGCTGCGAGGCCCCGGTGGGTCCGTCTGGGCCGGGGCTGCCGCCTCGCCGGGGTCGGGGTGTAGAGCCCGGCTGCCCGCCCTCCCACCGTAGACCCCCGGGAGCAGGCAGGAGCAGGCCCGGCCGAGCCCGGTGCCCTGGGTTGGCCGCCGGGCCTTGAGGCGGCCTGCCTGGGCCCTGGCGCTCCCCGACGCGGTGCTCAGCTCGGCTGAGGGCTCAGCCCGACCCCGCTCTCTTCACAGCCATGCCAACGCCCTGCTCCGAACTGAGGCAGAAATGTTTGAGAAATGGTACCGTAAGATGGAGCCGAGTGGCCCGTCACTGCGGCTGCTGTCCGAGAGGCGCGGGGCCCCGCCGGAGCTGACGCAGGTACTGCTCTGGAGCCGGGGCTGTGCCTGCGCAGCTGCAGGTACCGGGTGTTCAGGTCTGGCTGCACAGAGCCATGAGCCTTCCACCCTCGCCAGCCCCTCTGACCTCCCGATTTTGGCGCTCACCTGGAGGTCAGCAGGCAAGCTCCCCGGTTTGAAATGTGATGAGGAAAGTCCCCCGACAGCCCTCTGCACTTGGGCTTCGCAGCCATGAACCCTTAACCTAGACAGCCTGCTCGCAAGAGGGTGCCGCTGGTCTGTAGGTATAAGAGTTTGGGCTGCCTTGCCCTTCCTGCATTCAGGGTAAAGGCCAGGCTGCCGCCTTGCTTCTCCTCCATCAGCTGATGCTGTTAACCCCCCCCCCCAGAATAATCTGAAGTGGATGTTAAACAAACAGGGAGACTGGTGCCAAGAAAACAGGAAACTTGCCCAAGGTTGTGCCAGGCCTGTAATGGGACGCTCTGCTCCTCTTCTCCCTCCCGGGGAAGTTCACGTGGGATCAGACCTGCGTGCGTCCACTATCAGGTACCTCTGCTGAGGCCATGCTGCTCTCCTCACTGGAGCCATGAACAGGCTTTTGGAGCAGATTTTTATGTCCTGTCTTGAATGTCACCTTTTCACCAGAGACACAGTAAACAAGCTCTAGACCCTTTGCGGTGGAGCTCCTTTCAGCCAGCATCCTGCACTGGGTTTTAGCACCTGCCTGAATCCACAGTAGCTGCTTTGTCCCAGACTGAGCCCTTAGAAACTTTGCCTTTGGCCAGGTGGGCACTTGCCCTCTGCAGAGCAGTGCCTGCCTTGCTGCGTCACCACAGCACTGGGAACTGCTCCCGAGTGGTGTCAGTTCTTCGAGAGCATACTCTAGCCTGCCCGTGCTGCAGTAAGCTCAGCTCTTCATGATGTCTGACCCAGGTAGTGGTGGGAGACTCCATCTGTTCTATACAACAATTAGTATCTTCTCTATGAAGAGGTGTTTTACCTGCCCACATGAAGCTGTCACTTTGACTATAACCTCTAGCCCTGGGTTTGCCTGTTGAATTGAACTGAAAGTGCTTGCGTAGGAGGGTTTTGTAGGTGGATGAGAGGACAGATGGGGTCAGTCCACATGTGGCCCTAAGTTTCTTCCGCTCTGGAGAGGCCTCCTTGTCCTTGCTGTAATCTGGAAATCCCTCTAATGTGACCACTGAGATTATTTTCTTTTTGAATACAGGGAAGTGCAGCAACAGTTAGCCAGCTGGCTTTCTAACAGCATCTGTGTTGTTCCTTGGCTGTTGCAGACACGTGGCAGGTACAAGTCCAAGTTGCACAGTGTGACAGACTGTATTGCAGGCCTGACAGTGGAGCAGAAATGTGAACTGGCTGAGCGGGAGCTGAGTGAGCTGAGGGATGAAATTCAGAGAATGAAGGAGGACTCGGAGCAGACCTTGAAGAACCTCGAGGTATGGCTCTCCGGGACCCTTACCAAGGTGTCAAACAGTCTTGTTACTTTTCATACCTCTTGCAACGTGCCATCCCTCAGGGAGTGAGACAGACTCGCTTGGTGAGGGCTATTCATAGCAGAGCATTGCTGTGAGTGGTCCGGAGTTGAGAGTGGGAGCCAGAACTGTCTTCTCACCTCACCCCATTTCTTGAAGGCAAGTACACCAAAAGAGATCAGAGGTGCCCAGTCTCTAAAGATGGATCTTACTATGGCAGGAACTAATAATAGTAGAGGCAAGGCAAAGATTTTTAGATAGAGAAACTCAGTTCTGTTGTGTGAGATGAAGAGGTCAATGCTCGAAAGAAAAATCTCTTTTTTGTCAGCTGCCTGAGGGTATGTCCTTTGTGACACGCCTATTTTTCATTATAGCAGCTCCCAGAAGCTCCCTGATTTGGCTGGTCTCCATGCAGTCCTCTCTGGGTTCTGCCTTTCCACTGTCTCTGGGATTTCTTCAGAGCATGCTCCAAGTCTCCGAGGCTATGTTCCTGCTGCAGGCTCCTTGTGGCTGCATCACCATCTCTGCCTGCCCTGTGCTGGCTGCCAAGACCTCCTCCTAGCCAAGATGCTCAGGAGCTTTTGGGGAAGGAGAGATCTCTGCATTCAGTTCAGACCACTGATGCTACCTGGAGTGGCCAGGAGAGGTGGAGCAGGCAGCCTGTCCCTCTTGTGTGGCCACAGGGCATATGCAGTAAATTTGTAATTTGTCTTGTGTTGGCTTAGCCAGGCTGGCAGTGTTTATAGGTCAGGATGGAGTGACAGATGTTGAGGCTCAGGCATGTGAGAGGGTTTTGCCTTGTTCTTTTTGAGTCAGTGAAGTAGCACTGCTGTGTGAGCCTGCACCATACTATCCTAAGTTGCATGGGGTGAAACTCAGTGCTCCCACGGAAGGAAGAAGAAATGCTAGTAACTCCAACAGAGAGCATGCCTGGTCCTTTCCAGTGTTCTTTGTTCCCAAAGCCTTTTTAATGAGGGAAGTTAGCACCTCTTGACTGTTCTGTGACTTTATTTCTACAGGCAGTCAATGAAGAAGCAGATGTTTGGTGGACTGATGTTAAGAAAGCAATCAGTGACTTTGAGAACGACATTGTCAGCACCATCTCCAGAAGGAAAGGGAGTATCATAGCTTTTGAGAAGGTGCTGAGATACATGGAGGAGAAGAACCGCCAGAGGGTCAGTGCATCATGGCAAATTTTGAGACTGCTCTGTCATCTGACAAATATGTTGGTTAGGGAAAATCCTAGTCCCTATACTCCTGTGTGGAGTTTTAATGAATGTCTTAGCAAGTGTGTTTGGACAGCCCTTGTCACACCTGGCAGTCGGTGCCTAGCCCAGGTGCTCATCAGGCTGCTGAGCTGCAGCACAGCTGTGAGCACAGATGATGGCAGGGCCCTTGGTGGAGCCTGGGAAAGTGCATGACCAAGCCCTCACGTTTGGGGCAGGGTGATGCTCAGCAGCATTTCTTGCTGGGCTCCTTTCTAAGCCAGCAGCGAAGACTGCAGTGTGGATGAGATGAATGGGAACTGCACCATAAGGAGTGGAGTCTGGGTGCTCTTTCTCCTCCCAGGCTCTGCTGTCCCACTATAATCTGCTGTCTGTCTTTAGGATCTGCTGAGAGAGAAGTTGCTCTTAAAAAACTATTTGCTCAAGAGTTACAAGAAGAAGCTTCAGCAGCAGCTCAGGCAGGTGCGTGCGGCAGTTGAGGAGAAGCAGCGACTAGGTGGCCCCTTGAAGAATAAAAGTAGTACAGGCCAGTGCAGACACAAGGCCTGCTCGGAGTAGAGATGCGTGGCCCTCCTCCTCCTCCCCTTTGTCCTTGCTCCTGGCCTTGCTGCCTTTGTCAAAGGGCACTGTCATCTGCCCAGGTTCAGATCTGGCACATGTCTACGTGCTTGGGATGGGACCATAAGTTTCACAGAGTGAAAGCTGGCCGATCTCTTTTTGCCGTGGAAAAGATGTATAGTGGATCAGACCAGTTCCCTGGGGACTGGCTGCTGCTGGTGTGGCAGGAACCTCGCCAGAGGGGTCCTCTCTGAACTGCTTGGACCCTCAAAGCCAGGACACAAAGCACAGGCTCAGTGGCATGCTGTGTCTTGCTTTTCTCCCAGAGCCCCAGCTTTGCAGCCAGGCTGAAGACCCTGTTTTTTAGGCCTGCTTTCCCCACAGAGCAAAGCTGTCTTTCTTGTGGTGCAGCTTTGGTCAGCGACCTACAGCTCTGCTTCCTTGGGGTTTGCAGAAGGAGAAGATGGGAGAGACACTCCGCGAGGTCCGTTTGCAGCAGCTGCAGGTTAGAAATGCCCAGTACCAGGAGAAGATTGATGGGAAGAACGAGGAGCTGCTGCAGCTAAAACTGACCTCAGGGAAGACTGTCCAAGTCCTCAACTTCTATAAAGTGAGTGGCCCTCCCAGTGTCTCTGTTTTGCCTTTCTTCTGTTTCTGAGGGTCACACACGAGCTGATGAACGGCTCTTGCATCCCGCTCTTTCTCACTGAGAGGATGCTGAACACCCCTCTGCCTTCCCACGGACTTAGTTCAGTTGGGAGTTTGCCCAACACACCGAAAGCAGCAATGCCCTCCTTTGTGTTTGGCTGCAGTCTGATGGTGGGGTTCATCCTTTGGTTATTTTACACCTCAGGGGAAAAATTCCAGTAGGAAAGAGCTTTGGTGCTGCCTTGCGCAGGAAAATACATTTTTTTACATAACCTGTGACATTTGAAAAGATGTCATAAGCTGCAGCTGTCACTGAGTGAAAAGTGCTTTTTCACTTATCAGTGAAAAGTGCTTCTCAGCTGGGTGTATTTGCTCCTCTTGGATCAGCCATTCTGTCTGGGTCAGTCCTAAGCCCCAGCTAATGTGCCGTGGGCTGTGCTGCGGTGTGACACAGAGGACAGAACAAAGCAGTAGCTGCGTGACCAGGGCATGACGCTGCCTGCTGCAGGGAATGAGCGGTGCCACAGAGCTTCCTCGGGAGCAGAACTCCTGCACTGCCAGCTGGGACCAAGCTGGAGGAGTGGAGGGGTGACTTTGCAGGCGGCTGGGAGCTGCCACTGCACCCGCTGATGCTGTCCTGCTTTCGTGTTCCAGAGGAAGCTGCAGGACGCCATGGAAACGTCCACGTCTCTGATGAAAGACATCTCCCAGAGGAAAGAGCTGCTGGAGAAAATGGAAAGAGAAGCTGCTCTGGTGGAGAAGGTAAGAGAACAATTTGGGAGGCCCTGAGACTTCACTTGGGAGGACTCTTCTGAGGTACTTTTTGTGGTGAGTTGGATACCGATACACACTCGAGGCCTGGCAATGAGCTGGATATCTGTGTGCCTTTCTGGGTCTGAGGAAGTTCCAGGGCTTCTGCCAGTGCCAGTGAGCACAGGCAGGCTTGCAGAACAGGCCGTGTTGTAGATTTTGGCTCTGGTTCCACAGGGACCTACCACTGGCTTCTTGAAAATCTGTTTCCTCGAACTCTTCATCAGCAGTGTTCTTCCCAGGGAGAAGTGGCACTGCTGTCATACCAGTCTGGGGACACATAGCCTGGCAGGGACAGCACAGCTTTGGGAAGCGGGTTTGAGGGGCTCCCTAGCAGCGCTGCCTGGCAGGGATGGAGGCACTGGTGGATGCATCCCACTGCTCCTCCACCAGTGCTGAGGCTTTAATCTATCCTACCTGCCCCCTTCCCTGGAGAGCTGGCCACCAGCTGGCAGGGGGACATTTCTTTGGGATCTCTTTGCCCTCTGTCCCTATTCCTCCGGCAGCAACAAGCCGAAGCTGAGAGTGTGAATCGGCAGCTGAGGGAGCAGCTCTCAGACTGCAGCGTCCCCCCCGTGCTGAGTTACATGCAGAAGAAGATGGACGTTACCGACCTCGAGAACAGCCTCAAGGCTTGGGAGAGGAAGGTGGCAGTTGCCGAGGTGAGCGAGACTGGGTTGGGTGTGCAGGAGCCCGGACGTGTGCCAGCCGGGCATGGGGTCTCAGTGGAGATGCATCTGTGCCTGCCCACCTGCAGCTGCCCTGGGACCAGAGCACGCGCTCTGGAGCCGCCAGGAAGCCGGGCCAGAGTCCTTGTGCAGCTGTTTCACCAGTGCCTGGCAAAGCCAGAGGCTCTTCCTGCTTACGGAGCAGTGATTGCTCCCCGCCCCGAGCATGGAGCCTGACCTTTAATGACTGATGTCAGAGGGGAAGCCCAGGCAAGGACACAGCCTGCAATTTGACAGGAAACACTATCGGGCTGCTGCTGTGCTGGAACCTGTCGTGTGTGTAAGGAGAGGGCGATGTATGGCAGCCCAATACGTTTCCAGCTCCGCACACGTAACCTGCGTCAGCCTCTTCCAGCACCCCTGATGGGTCCCCAGTGTTTGTAGTCCTCTTTGATGATCTCAAACATTTGTTACTCACTGGTATCTTGACTCCTCCCTGATAAGGAAAGGCTGGCCAAGATCCAAACAAAGTTGCAGGAATATCTTTGCCTCTTCTCCTGCACCAGCTCCTGCAGCCTGGGAGGAGATGGAGAGATAACACAGAGGAGCATAGTCAAAGTCTGGAGGAAGCAGGACATGTCTGTATCTCCGCCCTGTGTGCAGAGCAGTGTGGGGAGGGAAGTGGCTGGGTTGGAAGTGATGGTACCATGGTCCTGTACCTTGACACCCTGCTTGTCCTTGAGTGGAGATGGGCTTAGCTGTGGCTGGGGCGGGGAAGGCTCTGAGCTTGCACCTGTCCAGCACTTAGCACCCCAGTCCACAACGGACAGGGCTTAGGTGGTCCAGCCTTTCTCAGAGGTCAGAACTGTGTGGATTTGAGCTTGAGCCATCAGTGCCGGTGCCGTGAGTTCAGAAATAGGGGTCTGGCTGTGGCTACCCCAGGGCTGGTGGGCAGCCTGGCTGCAGGCCTGTCTCTGCACAGGCAGATCCCTTCTCACCCAGCTGCTCCCCTTGACCGGCAGACCCAGGCTTTGGCTTGCTGTCTATGCAGCAGTGCCCAGAGTCCTGCCAGCCTCTGGGAGCTGGAGAGCAGTGTGGGCTCAAGGGGCTAAAGAAGGAACTGGTAGCTGTCCCTGGGATAAGAGAGATGGCTATAAACCTGTTTTCTTTGCTGGCCCCTCTGTGGCAGGGCATGTCCAACACCCCTGCTGCCATGCAAGGGGCTGTAGGATTCACAGCGCTGTTGTGTGGGGTCTCCAGGTTTCCTGTGGCATTCAGGGGAGAAACCAAAGCTGGTGTAGGCCTGCAGGAGCTCTCCTCAGCATGCCACAGTGACCCCTGATTTCAGGTGGGAGCAGGGTGGGAATGAAGGGGCAAGCAATACAGCAGCTCTGGCCAGCCTTGCAGCTTTCTCCACAACATACCACTGCTGTCTGAACATATTAAGGCCTCCTCCTTTCTCCTCTTGCAGATGTCCTTGCAAAGCTATCGCAGAGCATGGAACCAGGTCAAGATGTCTGGGAACCAGCACTAGGCTTGTCTGATGCTGCAAGGTGGGCAGTGGAAGCTGCAGGAGGAGCCAACCCTGTGGAGAAGTTTGCTGTCAAGTGGGTAAATGTAGCTCCCTGCAAGCTGCAGTGAGATGAAACTGCTTCTGCATGAAATGATAAAGAAACCCATGGCTCTGTTGTGAGGCCACCTTTTTGGTCTGTCCCAGCATGTGCCGGCTTCCACCACGTTCTGCTGCCTGGCCCCTCCGCATGCCCTGCTAGGTCAGCCGGCTCTGCTCTGGATGCTTCACCCCTCCCTCCATGACCACAAGCAGTTATTCTCTGGTGATCAAATCTGACACGTTCACAGGAACTGTCCTTTCTCTCTGGGCAAGCACTGGTGATCAGTTAATGCAGGAGGAACCAGAGGGGATTCTCTGGGAGATGTAGGAGTTCAACATCTCCAAGCATGCACTGACAATAGAGGAGAGCTAAGCAGCATGAGCATACAGGGCAAATCATTTCAACATGGCATGCATGAACCAAGCAGGCTTTCTGATCACAAAAAGACACTTCCTTTACCTAAAGAAATGAAGCAGCAAGAAGGGATCAGCTACCCTTTTCCCTAGTACCTGGGGCAAGTGTTAAGTGTCCCTTGGAGATGGGAAGTGTTTTCCCACTGAAGGCGTTATAAATCATTTTGGAGGGCCCAGCCTCAGGTGAGTTCAGGTCTGTCTTTCCCTTCTTGGGAAAGAAAGAAACTTCCTGAAATATCCTCACTGCTGGTCTGGAAGCCTCTTCCCAGTCTGGGAGGAGCCTGCAGATCAGCTCGCACCCTGACTAGCATGGGGAAGGCGGGAGGTCCTGTCTGCTCAGTGGTGGCCAAGATCCAGTCGCTGTAGTAAGACACTGGGATGTACAGAAACTGTCAGTAGCATCTCATGCCGCCCTCACTAAGAATGCTTTTCAGGACCCATTTCTCAGTCCCTCTAATCTGGCACATGATGGGTTTGCTGGCATCACCCTTTTTGAGAGACAAAAAAGGCAGGGTTGTGCCTCAGCCATGTCCCTCCTGCCATCACTTTTGGTGGCTGTGGACTGGAGTGAGAGGAGAAGCAGATCACCGCAGTTGGGTCCTTTATCACCACCGAATCAGGGGGCTGGCTGCCTTTGGGCTGGCGATGTCCCTGTGTGCCCCAGGTGAAGTGACTGGCATGGCTCCCCATGCCCCCAGCAGCCCAGCCCCACGCCTGATCCTTTGGTACATACCACAGGGAACCCCTCTGGGTTTTGCCTCTGGAGCATCTTTGACCCTGGCCACATCAAAGGCCCTTGTAGGCCCTGGCAGCAGGAGAGGTCCAGGGGCCAGGAGCGGTCAGCTCACGCAGAGAGAGACGGGTGTCACATGTTCAGACAGTCTCCCACGCCTGCTATTTGCAAGCTGCACAGAAAGGATCTTTTCCTGTAAGGACTGAGCAGGAGAAGCTCAACAAGTGCTTTGGCTGCTTTCCCAGCCTGGAGTTGGAGACGAGCAAAATGGGGAGGAGGCAGTCTGCCTAAATGTCTGCCCGGTCTGGGTTGGTGCTCTGTGTCCCTTACCAAACAGCCTGCCACTTCGTCAGTGTCCCTGTGGCTGCACCCTGCGGTTGCAGAGATCTTTTTCAGCGGGCAGGGATCCACGTGCACCACGAAGAGCATCCTCAGAAAGTCGCTGCAGCGCTTTCCCCTGCCTGGCCGAGGGACCACTGTGAGCCTGTGGCTCTGGGCAGCCCTTGGTCTCCAAAAAACAGGGATGGGTGACCAGTGGGTGCTTCTTCCTCCCAGGACAAGCCTTGTTTGTCCTTCCTCCCATTTGGGCTGTTGGCAGGAGGGAGCGGGAAGGTGGCTCTCTGTCCTGCAGGAGCCAGGGGTTACCTGGGGTGGGATGGATCTGGCCTGAGGATCCAGCAGTTTATGAGGTCTGAGGCAGAGAGGCTCCCATGGAGGAACCAGATGGGCTGAACGACGCTGCTGGACTCCAGCGAGGTGGCTGTCCTGAGCAGAGCGATGCTGTAGAGCACCTCCTCATCAAAGTCCTCATGGGGGATGATGGGGCTGGTCCTCCCAGCACCTCTTCGCGGCACCCAGCCCAACCAGGGCGAGTGCCTGCTGCCTGTGGGGGGGTGGATGGAGGGGACTGGGTGCAAGGAAAAGCCTGGGGTAAACTTTGCCTGCCCCTGCTCTGACTGAAGGATGTTTGCCCAGCTGCTGGGCAGGACAAGATCCTCCTGAGCACTGGGAGGTGGTGTTATTCCCCGCCGATTCCCAAGCCTTGCCTGGGGTGATGCAGGGCCCCTGGCAGGGCACGGACCTGCTCCGCAGGCTGGCTGGGGCACTGAGCATCCAGCATCCAGTTCAGGATGGAGCTGAAGGCCGGGAGGTTGCTCTGTGTGTCCGGCAGTGCCACCGCCCATGGGAACTTGTCCCCAGCTGTAAACTCCTGCGCTGATCTCTAAGGGGTGGGCTGGCCTGGATCCCATGGGCTGTGGGGCAACAGGGAGCATGGTCGCTGCCCCCTGCGCTCTCCCGCTGCCCCCCTCTTCCCTCTGATGCTCCCTTGCACCTTGCCGTGGCTGTCCGGAGTTGTGATCTCACCTGGGAATGATGCCAGCATCACCCGGTCTCGCTCAGCCACGGGGCTGTGCCGGTGGCACGGCGTGCGGCGCGTGGGGGTCAGGCCATGCCGCCTCTCGCCCGGCGCTGGGGCGGCACAGAGCCACAGCACCACGAGGCTTTGCACTGCCCCAGCCGGGCAAAGAGTTGGGCCATGGCGCCAGGCCCCGCTTCTCTGCCTGCCTGTGGGGAGAGGGGGCGATGGCGTGCCGGGTGCTGGCTGGCAGCTGGCCTGGAAGGGCTTGGTGTGCCTGTGCTGAGCGTGCCGGGCCGTTTCCTCGCCCGGGTATGTGGGTGCTGCACGTCCCAAGCACCCTGGCAGGGACACAAGGAGACCCAGTGGGTTTGTTCCCAGCTCCTTCTCTCCACGGGCCTTATCCTGCTGCGCTCTGCCAGCTCCATGACACCCCTGCCAATACCCCACTGGCCCCATGCTGACCCCCTGCTCAGCACCCCGATGCTGCCACGGTACCCAGGCAGCAGGGTGCTGGGTACAAGCTGCTCTGTGTGTTCACCATCGCTGCGGCCGCTCACAGGGACCTGCTGGCGTTCCTGCACAGTGGAGGGGGCTGTGGGAGGCTCTTGCGGCGCATCTGCCTGCACAGAGAGGATCTCTGCAGCACAGCTCCTCCTGCCTTGGGTGCTGCTGGATGGTTTCTCCCTGGGGCAGCCTGTCCTGCCCAGGGGTTTCCCACTGGGGTCCCTGTCCACCCTGGTTCCACTTGCAGGCAGAAGCAAGGGCAGCAGGAGGCGGCAGCAGATCTGGTGCTGCTTAGGGGGATTTATAAAAAACTGAAGGACTCCGGAGTGTACGAGGGTGGTGATTAGGGGGACTGGAGGGTAGCAAGAACCATCACAGGGGCATCACAAGGCTACAGCTGCCTATGGCTGGGCTTGTCCTGGTGGGAACAAAAAGTCCCTTCCCAGCTCATGAAAGGCCATGCGTGCCTTTGGAGAGCAGGATAGAGAAGGTGGGATGGTCTGAGGGCTGTGAAAACTCCTTTTTTTCCATCAAGGATGAGAAAACTGTTGAGAAAGGGAAATTACAGTACCCCTTGCACACACTAATGAATAGCCATGGGTGAAAGGAGCTGGCAAGAGGCAGAAAGCAAAGGCACCGGGGCTCCTGGCAGGCTGACACGCTTCCAGCAGGTTATCCCTGGATTGCTCTTCCCCTATCAAGGCGTGTAGTGGCTGCGGATGAACATGTCCAGACCAACCCCTGGGGTGCCCTCTGGACATAAGGGCAGCCAAGGGGAAGGGAAATGGTGCTGCGAGAAGGCTGGAGGGAAACCCAAGTTTCAGCACTTGTTTAAACCTGTGTACAGACTAGGGCAGCATCGGCTGAACAAATTTCTTCCCAGCATTTGAATACATGTTTATTATATGCAGAATTAGCAAGGGCAGGGGCCACGCCATAGCATGTTTAGGACAGGGGCATCCCAGGGAAACCGTGGATTTTTTTTCATGGTTGTCTTCTTCTCCTTAGGTATAGCCAGTCCTGCACGTAGGAAATTCAATAGTCTCTCTGTGGTCCTGCAATAACTCTATTAGTGCTTATCTGTCCCACTGAGAAGGGCCTTTTGTGTATATTATCCCTGGCTCTTGTGATGTTGTGTTTGAAATGCCATGGGAATCAGCTAGGAGGCAGCTGATGATGCCAAGGTCCCTTTGTAGTCGATTTGTGTGAAAAGTGGCCACTTAACCCTGCAAGAGCCAGGAAAACATATCTGAGAGGTGAGGTTCACCCTGCCCTCCCCATGGCGGGTGCCACGCTGGGGCTGGTCCCTGATCACCAGCTGGGCTGTTCCAACGTGATGCCAGGGTCACCGCAAACAGAACGTTTCCAAAGGTGACACTGGCATCTGGCAGCGACACTGCCCGGCACCTGACTCACTGTGAACACAGCTTATTTCATGTTAACTGGATCCACAGGGGCCAAAGCCAACCTGCACGAGACCGGGTGCGCCACGACCAGCCCACGTCCTTGACCCACGGGCTGTGGATCAGCCAGCGTAGTGACACCGGTCCCTTCCCGCTTTGCAGGTCTCAGCGGAGGTCAGCGCTCTCAAAGAAGCAGGGCCTCCGTGGCAGCAACCGTGGGGAGCCCAGGACCCTCCCTGAGGCCAACCTGAGCCTCTTCCTTCGCCCGGAGGACCAGCTGCCTCCTTGCCACTGCTGCTGGGAGACGGGCATCTCTCCTGAGGAACCACGGCCTCCCAGCAGCCTGGCTGCAACCTTGGAACTAATGAGTTTTAAGCCCCGTGGTTAACGAAGCTGGCCTGACTGCACGGAGACAAAGCCCCAAGCCTGCCTCCAGCTCTGCCCACAGCAAGCTGAACACGGTGCTTCTGTGAGCTTGCACAAAGACTCCCTTGTGCAGGAGGGGATCCGGCCAAACAAGTGATCTCCTTGGCTGCATGTCTCCTGGTACTCTATCATTTATATTATTTTTCTGGATTGTTCCCACTACCAAGGAAAATTTAACAAGTAAAAGCATCTGATAAAAATCTATTGACTGGAGTAAAACACCAACCCAGCCAAACCAGTCTGTACAGTACGACCTTCACAGCCTTTGAGACATGTTCATTCGGTTTACCACCTAGAAAAACAAATGCTGTGTGGTGCTTGCAACACTGCCTGTGTGGAGGCTTTGATTCAAGCCTGTGTTACCAAAGCACAGGGAGATGTTTGAGAGCCGGGTGCCGCTTCCTTCCCCAAGCCCGGTTCCCTGTTGTGCAATGACATATTTCTTAAGTCATCTCCTTGGCATTTTGTGCTTCTTTTGTGTTTCAGGATCACACTGCTCCCCTTGCTGCCGGCCTTAGCACTGAGGTCCTAACTCCTGGCTTCTGGTGACAACCCTTCTGGCTGGGTGCCCAAGCAGGAACGATGCACCTTGTCTTTACTGAGGAATCTGTGAGAAAACAACTTTTGGCCACTGGTGCCTTCAAGTCATCTTACAGGATTACTCACAGGTAGTTCAAATCTTGCCTTGGAGACAAATCTTGCCTTGATGAGATGGTGCAAAGAGCTGATCCAGGATAAACCCAACTTGCTGGCCCAGATTTGCTTACACATGCCAGTGGGCTAATGTTTCACTGGAAGGCTTTTGGGTATCAGCCACCCCTCAGCCACTTACGCATGAGAAGTGACCAAGACACAGATCCTTGCAGCTCTCACAACTCTGCTTGACTCCCTCACCTTCACTATGGACAGACACCAACCCGCAAGTCTTTATTTTTCTCTCTGTAGCCAGGTGGGAGTTTTACAGCCTCATCAGTTTCTTCCATGCAAAGGATGGGGGTACTTCAAACGTGGGGTTGTATTGCCAGCTACCCTTTGTGTAGAAAGCAACACGCAAAGTAGAGGACAGCTAGGTTCCGGGCAGGTCAGGGACAAACAGTCTCCAAGCTGTATCCTTCTAGCAGCGGATAGTGCAGTAGTCCTGGAAGTACAGCAGCACTGCTGGAGGAGGGCCCAGGACCGGGCCGATCTCACACGAGCACGTTACTGCAGCAGCCATCAAAAAGCCATTTCCACGGGCAGGACAGTGGGATATGTCAGGAAAAGCAGGCGGCGGTTACTAGCAGGTCAGTCGGTAATACCATTCCCTAAGGGTAGTGCATGCCTTTAACTGGAGGACAGATCCATACTGAATTACCTTTTCTATTATAAGGATGATGACTCAATTTATTTCTAAATGGTGCCCTTGCCAAAGGGCTCTGTGTCTGTGCCCTTTATAATAAAACAATTAAAAACCCCATTAATGCTAAAATCTTACCGGCCTAGCACAAAAAGGAGAAAGAAAGGGTCTTTCCCTTCCCACAGAGCCAAGAGCTGCCAAATTTACAAGCATCATGGGAATGGAAAGAGTTTGAAATTAATTTTAAGGGATGGAAAGAGATTAGATGGGAAGGATTACAGATGGCCACAGGTTTTGCACTCAGAAATCGTCCCTGTTTGACAGATCATTACTCTGAGGAAATCTGCCCCCAGACAATGCTCAAAAGCTTTCAAATTAGTGGCAGGCTCACTGTGGATCGGGTAAACTAGTCCACCCTCACTGGGCTGGTTACAAAACCCTTCTGGCTCTGGTCTCACTCACTGAGACTGGAAGTTCACGTACAAATGGCTCAAAAATCTAGGTTTTCTCACCACTCTGGTGACTTTAGATGTTAAGCAAAGCCTCCAGAGAATGAGCAGGTGCCTTCCTGATGGAGTTAGAAACGAGGGATGCTCATGCTTGTCTGTTTTTTTGTGACAGAAATGAAGGATGCTCTTTGCAGCACAGCAGGAATTACACTGCCACAGAGCACTCCATCCTGAAATCAGTCCTTTACAGTATGGCCTGTTTTATTAATGTCAGAGAATCCAAATTGACAATTTTAACTAACAGCCTAAAACCACAGTCGTTGTGCTTTAATTGTTAAATATCAATAAAATAACCGTAGCAAGAGCTCTGTGATCAGTGCCCTGATAGATTTATGTTTGCTGGCAGATTCCTCGTTCTAAAGTCCATCTTCTCATACCTGAGATAGGATAGCAGTAAACATCCCAAACCAGAACATCTGGAGTGAGGTGGCAGTTAGATACTGGAAAAGACAAGATCAAGAGTCTGACATGCACTGTCCTGTGTGATCATGTCTTGTATTGGCTCTGTACAATAGCAGGTGAGGTGTAGTTGAGTGAGCGTGAAGGATCCAATACTAGTGGGACTTAATTGACAGGTTTTCTTCATACTGGAGTGAAAGTTACGTTAAAAGGAATTGAAAAGGGGAAAGAAAGCCTTGAGATGCACAGCTTCTGCCAGGCCACCAGACTACTGAGTTCCTACTGAGCAGAGCAAAATGGAGCTGGCCAACCAGGACGTCTGTCCTAATTATGTTTTTCCAGCTTTGTTCACCTGTTTCCCTGATGATCCCATCACTTTGGCCTAAACATCAAGGATCAGGAGTATACAAAGAGAAGACCCCTTAGCACTCCAGCCCCTGCCTTGGATTGGGGCACCACTGGCTTCCCAGGGCTTCCCCAGAGCAATAGCTGGAAGTCACAAAGCAATGTTCTTGGTTTAAGTGATGGTGTAATCTGTGCTACAAATTCTTCTGTCCTAGGAGGAGGAGATGCTATGTAGACCAATGGCTCTTCCAGTTTCTGCCTTTATCCCTGCCTGCATCCAGCTATACTGCCTCATCCATGTGAGGGTAAGAGCTCCCTGAATTTTCTTGTGTGACATATCTCTGTTCTACCGCAGGTAAAGCTGCAGGATGCCCGAAGACATGACTGACTGATAGAGCATCCAATGACTAATGCAATGGTTTGCACTGCAGAACAGGCTCATACTTAATGGCCTGTGCCAGAAAGCTGGCCAGGGCCAAGATGTGGTGCACAGCTACTTTTACAAACAACTCCACCCCTTGGGTACGGGTTCCTCTGCAGCGGGCGGCAGGGTCTGGCACAGCCTACCCACATTTGATGAATTGCCACAGTGCCACTTTCCTCCAGGCATACTTACCTTTTAACTGACTCCACGCTCTTTCTCAGCCACTGTTTCCTAGGTCCTGGGAAACTAAAAAATTTCTTCAAAGGTCAGCTAAAGGTCTCTCCTCTGGCTGTTGATATTTCTAGCTTAATCCAAAGCTTACTTTGAACCCAAGCTAGCAGATTGTCAGTATGGGCAGAAGGTCAAGAACTGCAAGCACTCAAGCTGCTAATGCAGTGGGGACCTGGCCACTCAGCGCTGCTAATACAAGCATGCTGGAGTGCTAATCTAATCAGTTCCTGAAGCTCGAGTGTTATTTTGCAATGTGACTCCTCTCACTAGAACGCGTATCAGCATTTAAAACCATTTGCCAGCTAACTCACAACTCCAAACCTCATTCCTTTGCTCTAGATGCTGGTCCCAGAACAAGGCACCCAGCTTAGGTCGCTGGGATCTGTGGAGTAAATCTCAAAATCTCAGCTGCTTCCCATAAAGTTATGAGTTTATGTGAATGAGAGGTCATGGCTATGACCAGGACAGCGGCTACTGTGACCTATGTTGCAGAAACACGCAGATAGAAGGGACGCGGTCAGCCGGGCCGGCCACTTGTCATAACCGTGGTGCAGGGCGGGCCTGGAGACGTGTCTGTTTTTACAAAGCACAGAGAAATGGGAAGAGGCTTGATAAATAGTTCCTAGTGCAATGCTAGTCATCAGCATCAGGATTAATTGCGCAGAGCACGATAATGAATGTGGTTTATATCAATCAGCTCACCAAAGCTGAAGGAGTTGTTCCAAATGCACACGCAAATGAGTGAGGGGAACACCTTGCACAACAGCTTAGGTGACTTGCTCATTTCTAAGACCTTGGCATTCAGCGATGGACCTGGGGAAGAGGCTGCTTCGAACTGCTGCCTGAAATGAAGTCTAAACCTTCACACACTGTCCAGACCCCTGTGCTTTAATACAGGATCTGTTTTAAGCCCTCCTTTGCATCTTTCACTCTGCAGACATCAGAAATCTATTAATACAGGAGGAGAAGAACTTAAAAAATGGACTTCTTAAGTTAGGCTCTCTGTCCATACTGGGGGCACTGAAAACAAACAATTTGCTTCTGGTTTTCATGAGTGCTGAGTACTTACTGAATGCCATGAAAACATCTGAGGCCATTTATTTGGCTTCTGATTTATTGGCCTCATGAACCTGATTTTATGAACTACTTTTTTAAGCTCAGCAAAAGCTCTTATCACCAAGGGTCCTCCACAAAATGATGTGACTTTGTAGGGGGTGAGTCATGGTCAGTGTCAAGATGCTGCCAGTCCTGACCTCTTCACTTAAAAGGCTCCGTATTTACACTGCTGCCTTTTCAACCCTGCTCAGGCAGTAAACCGGCAGCAATCCTGACTTGCGTACCCACTGTCCGGCTGTCACGGGCTGACAGGTGACTGTGCCTCTCTCCTGGAGGCTTTTGGGCTAAACCACATGATCATTCTTTACCTTTCTGAACCTGCGTGTGACAATGAAGCCTCCCAGAGGCACTGACAGAAAGAAACATGTTCTGGCTATTTATAGGTGTCAATAAGATCCAGTTTCCAGCTGGAATACTAAGCAGAGGTTTGGAATCTGCCTCCTTCCTAGACAGCTCCTGGAGTTGCTCACATCCTGGGCTTCCTGGACCTTCCCGACATTTTGAGGTGAAGCAGCAGAGCTGGTGATGTATGATGTGTTCCCTGATGGGGAATACTAACTCATGCCCTCAGTTTCCTGCAGTGGGACTCCCCTCTTTGATCACTCCTTAGAGATTAAATGCCACGATTTAGATTACTGGGGCTCCAGTGCTATTTCTGAAGGGCTTGTTCTCAGCAGTACAAACCATATGCTTACAGAAACTTTGACGCTTTTAAATTAACAAAGTTATTTCATTTCTGTCAGCACCCTGCTGTTGCTTTGAGACTGCGCTAAAATGGAAAGCTTGCTCATTAATTACGTCAAAAATCAAGGTTTAATTACAATGCCTCTGAGTTAAATTTCAAGCCATTCAAACTTCCAGGGCCATACAGGAGACAGACAATCATACCCCTAGCAAGTTAATCCTTCAAAAAAGATGATGATGATGATGATTAACGTTATTGATTTCCCAGCAGCAGTATTTCAACTTGCAAACACAGAGCCTGCTAACTGGAGTGTGCAGAAGCCAGTGTCGTACCTGTCCAGCCATCTGTGGGCCAGGGACCACCTGGAACACAACTGCAAGAGTGAGTCTGTGTTCCTGCAAGGAGAGGAGGAGTACAACCAGGCTTCATTACACAGCTCCAGAGAATACACACAGCCATCCAACTGGGCGCACATCCTTCACCATGGGTGAGGTAAAGGTACATCAAAAATCAAATTGCATACAGGCTGGTTATCACAGCACACCTAAAAATTTTCATGTAAGCATGCTGGATTCCCAGCCACCCTTGAAGCCAGAAATGAAGGCAACACTTGCTGTTTGTTGTGAACCATGACCATTTGAATGTCAGTGTTCCTAAAGCAGTATTCCATATTTTTTCCAGATTTAGAGTTGAGACCATAACCTCAAACACAAGATAACAGCTACAGTGTTGATGTGGTCAATCACCTAACTTAAACCTGGTAAATAATTTTTTGGCCCTTGCCAGCCATGAAGGTGTATCACGCTTAGTTATGAAATCATGACCGAAGTCCTGGGTACCAACAGAAAGCCCCCCCAAAACCGTCAGCTTTAGATTTCAGCAGAATGAGAAGCTGGAAAGTGTTATGGAGATTGGCTGCTAGCTGTAGGTGTTTCCCAGGAGGACAGAAGGAATGCCTCTCCACACCCTCCTCACCTGGCTGATGTCATGCCTGACCTGCGATGCACGTTCAGTGCTGCCGCTGCTGAGCGCGACATCGGGCTAAAGGTTTCAGAGTCTGTAATTTAAATGGCATCAGTCCCGGTTTCCCTTCTAAAGCTGTGGCAGTCGGAGAGAACCAGAATGGTTGGTCAGTCAAGGTGATGACTATCTGCTAGATGAGAGGTACCAGCACACACTGCCTTTTCATCAACTCTGCCAGAATACAGAAGTTTCATTTTCCCGACAATGCGTTCAGCAGTGAAAGAGGAGGAAGCATCCAAACAAAGCATCCCTGATTATACTCTGGGGACTGTAATCTTGCAGTTCTCTTAGATGCTGTGTCTATATCAGAAACTTGTATTTAATTTATACTGTCTTCCTAATTACCAGTCAGGATTTAGAAGACCATGGCATGTTTGCATCTTGCAATATTTACCATCTTCCTTAAAGCCCCAGTTTTGGAGCCATGTTTCATTAGGCAGGAAAAAAATGTAATACTTTTCAAAAAATTAAAAGTGGTTAAGAATTAGACATCAGAAGAATATTTTTAAAAAATCTAAGACCTGCTGAAAAAAATCTCTACGGCTTCTAAGCCAGCTTCACGACTTTTAGGGCCTAATTCATTATTTTCTAAAATATATTGTTGTCAAAGCTGTAATTTAGTTCATAAAAATGTTTGTTCTACAGGTACTAACACATCCTGGGCTTAATGGATTCTGTAACTTCCTATATTTTAGTTATTTTTAAAAATCGGTCATTGGCAGCCAGCTGGAGAGTGCTTTATTAGCAGACATCCCTGGAGAGCAGACACTCTAACACTTCATATCTTTTTGGCTTAGATGATATGGCAGGGACACAAAGTTCCTCATTGCACCTTGGAACACGAGAGAACAACAGTGACACAGCCTGAAGCGTGCTGTGCAGCATCCCGCTGACCACTGCTGCCTTGGTACAGGGCTTCCCCCATCGCGTGTCTGCCCCGTACCACTGCCATCCTGACCGGGGACTGGGGCAGGTCTGACCCGCACCCTGACCTGAGGTATCCCCTCCTGCATGGGTAGCTGATTTTTATTTTTCATATAAAGTAATATTACAGTATCAAGCATTAACAAGATTGAATGTGTGTTACAATTTTTAACGATGCTTGAAAGCAAAGGGCTGTATTCTTGACTAATATGACACTACTTGAGAGATCAAAAGCAACTTTATTAACATCACATCTTACATAAATATCCCTCTCTCCCTCCCTCTCTCTCATTCCTTTAATGTGTTGCAGATTCTGTTTCCCTTTTAGATCAATACATGTTCTTGTTCTGTGTGGAAACCCATGTTATAACTTTTGTGCCATCAACATTTTACTTTTTAATATATTTTTTTTCAACAGAGTAATTACTGATATATATGGTAAATATGTATCTAAAGAGTATATAATGGAGAGGGGCTGTCGTCGTTTGAGCCTGGTCAGCAGCCAACCACCACGCAGCAGCTCTCTCCCCCTTCTCTTCTGGCAATAAGAAGGGACAGAGAGCCAGGCTTGGGGTTCGAGATAGGACTGGGATGGGGAAAAAAAAATCCCCCTTTATGGGCACGAGCAAAAGGCAGACACGTTAGGGGAAGAAAAAAAAGAACATACATTTATTACAGACACTAACAACACATAACAGAGTAGGACAGTGAGAAGCATTGCCACATCTTGAGAACACCTTCCCCCCACCCCTCCCTTCTTCCCGGGCTCAGCTCTGCTCCCAGTATCTCTACCTCCTCCCCCAGTGGCGCAGGGGCAGGGAATGGGGGGTGCAGTCAGTGCTGCCACTTCTGCCATCTGCGGTGGGGGGAGCTTCTGGAACTTGTTCCCCCTGCTCCATCGTGGTCCCCCTCTCACAGCAGACAGTCCTCCACAAACTTTCTCCGACTTGAATTCCTCCCACGGGCCGCAGCGTTCCCCACACTGCTCCGTCATGGGTCACTAACTTCCTCCGACTGGATTCCCTCCCACGGCTGCAGCCCTTCCCGAGCTGCTCCGGCGTGGGACTCCCCCGCATGCTGCAATCCTCCCAGTGCTGAATTACAGCAGCGGGGCTGCCTTTTCCCATGAGACCCCGGCCTTCTTCAGGCACAGAGCCTTGATAATTCAAGCAGGAGCAACAGGCCATAATTCAATGTCTGCTCCACCATAGATCTCCATGGGTGGCAGGGGGGGCCGCCCTGCCGTCTCCCCACAGGATACAGGGGGGTCTCTGCTCCGGCACACCTCCCCCCTCCTTTCTTCCTCCGTTCCCCCACTGACCTTGGTGTTCATGCAGCTGCAGCGACTCCTCCTCACAAGTCCCACTGCCCATCACCACGTCCCTTCTTAAATACGTTATCGCAGAGGCGCAGCTGATGGGCTCAGTTTTGGTGCAGAGGTGGAGCTGACGTGGAGCTGGGGGAGCTTCGAGAAGCTTCTCACAGGGGCCACCCCTATAGCCCCCTCCCCTGCTACCAAAAACCCCACCACTCACTCAAACCCAGGACAGGGACATAAAAGAGCATGTAGTGATAGGACGAGGGGTGATGGTTTTAAACTGACAGAGGGGAGATTTAGGTGAGATCCAAGGCAGAAATTGTTCCCTGTGCGGGGGGTGAGGCGCTGGCCCAGGGTGCCCAGAGCAGCTGTGGGTGTCCCCTCCCTGGAAGGGTTCAAGGCCAGGTTGGACAGGGCTGGGAGCCCCCTGGGCTGGGGGAAGGGGGCCCTGTGCGGGGGGCAGGGGGGGTCACTGGGGGGGCTTTAAGGTCCCTTCCAAACCGAACCAGTTTATGATTCGATGATAACATATGCCTATACATATATGTGCAAATAAGTATTAACATACATTAATGGGGTTTTACTAGCTAAAGTATAAAAGTATAATGAATTCAGCAACCCCTAAAGAAGATACAGTGGTTCATATGAAAATTAAATAAACATTCCAAAATCAAACAGATAACAAGGGTAACCAAAGTGAATTTTTGAGAAAGTGTTGTCTCACTTTTTTTTTAAAACTTTCTGTCAGAAGTATTTTTTCCCAATGTGAAGTACAGCAGGCTTCTGAATGCCTTTAGCTCTAGTCAAGGAATCAGTAGTTGGACATATTTTTGTTTATTTGAGTTGGACTCATTTTTGTTTAGCTGCTGACTCCTTGTCATCTGTTAGTGATACCAAGATGTCTAGCTTTTCTTAAACAATTGCACTGGAAAAGAAGCTCACATTACAGAAAATCCACTGAAGGCTAAAGACGTAAACTTCATTTAGATTCTTCTGGTACTTTTTTTTTTTTTTTATTTTGTCACAGATCCATCTCCTTGTACGGGGATGCTAACACATCAGAAACAAGAAACCGAAGCTAAAAGAGTATTTGTTGCAGGATTATACACTCAGCTAACACAGGTAAGGATGTGATACTTTTGGATCTTGTCCATACTTTACTTGTGTAAATCAAGTGTCTGTTTCTGAAGAAACAGTAGCGAAAGCAGAAGTTAATGCTTACTCCTAATGTGAACAATGTATATTAGTTGCAGTCATTTATATTGCAATAGGTCTGTAGTCACTGTCACCCTGCCAGTAATGTTTACTGTCTTCTTCACAACAATGTAAATGACAATCCTAAATGTGAGATACACAAGGACTTTGTTTTCTGAAAGCCTTATCTTGCTTTTGTCGAACATGTATTACCTGCTGAACCTGAGTGCTAGAGATCTATGGAATTAGACCTGTACCAGCTAATCAGTGGTCTTGTTTGAAAACTGATTTACAGTTCTTAGCAAACCTAAACCACGTCATCTAGCAGCCTTATTCCAACCGAAGAAGCAGCACACTCTTTTTGCAAGAGGTGAAAGACACCTTACCAGAAAGGCATCAGTCTAGGTAAAATTGCCAGTCTCCAAACTGCAGCAATTCTGCACGGCAATTGAGGCAGGAGTGAAAGTACCAATAAAAAATATGAGCCAGATGAAATGATTTGCCACTTATAGGAGAAACAGGCAATAAAAATAATCTTTCCCTACTGGTTCAATTTCACTCCTGCAGCACAGTTTGAATATAAACTAATATAAATGTGCCTTTTCCAGAGCAACTGTTCTTACAGAGATTTAACTTGGCTTCATTTGAAGTAACCCATTTGCAGGCCAAGCACCACGAGAAGCTTTTAAATATTACATTAATGTAAAAGATGACAAATAATGATGGTTTAGATATAAATAAGTTCACAGACCAATAGAGGGCAAGGTACTCCGAGTAAATTGCAAAGCTATATAGGTCCATGCTGTGTAATGAGATAGTTCTGGAACTGAGAGCATGAGAAACAGAGGGACCAAGGTTAACCAAGATAGCTTTAGTCTCTGCTCGTGTTCCCCAGCCCCCTTCTCCAGGCATGAACAAGGGGGGATGCCCTGTGGTGATAGCAGATGTGTGTGCAGTTTGTTATTTTAAGTAGAAAAGTCTTCATTAAGTGAACCGGATAACAGCGAACACATCTACCCAGGACTTCTAGCACATAAAAGCTAGCGCATTAAACTCAGCAGTACCTTAAGTGAGTATTATCAACTCAAACCTTGCCTGCATAAAAAAGTTGTAACACTTTAATTATGATTAACTATACCAATACTACACTCCTAGCATGTCCACCGTTACGCAAGACTAAAGATACTACTTGTATACCAGTATTGGTGATACAAGCAGGGGAATATACGAATTAGTATAAAACCCATTTAATAAATGGTTTCACAGGAAAAGCAAATGGAGGTATTGGGCCTTTGGGCTTTAAACTCATGCTTTCAGGGAATTCACAGTCATTCCCCTAACACATTTCTGGATCAGACAGGATTGTCTGGGTGATTTTTTGAACCTTCTTTTGAGAGACTGCCCATGCTCAGATAATGATCTGAGCATGTACACAAGCCACCTTCTGCCTGGGAGTCATGTAAGTGTGGCAATGAATCATGGAATAATTTGGAGGTCACCAGGCTTGGCATCCTACCCAAAGCAGGGCAAACTTTGAAGTTAGAGCCAGTCTGAGCAAAGAGGTGACATTAGCTTGAGCTCAGCACTGTGTAATTCAGGATTAACTGGAACTGATGTATGTCTGGCAGGCTTCAGGCAAGGTTGGAGCAGGCACACCGTTGTCTCCACCTCACTCCGTTGATATGCCTGCTATGTCCTAAGAACACATGGAAGGGTTTTGCAATTTTCTGCTCCTAGGCTAAACAGAGAAAGATATTGGCATTGGCAAAACAAACAAACAAAAAAAGCAGAGGGACAGAAAGGGCCCTTTTAACACAAGGCATGTGTTCTGAGGCAGGAGAGACTAATGCCATGACAAACTACCAATTTGGAAAACAACTTTAACAGCCATCAGTAGATCCTGTGATAACTTGGCGCAAACAAAAAATAGTTAAAGATGTAATTAAAAGGTTAAATGCTGAAAAACTGCAAGGAAGCAAACAAGGAGGGATACTGAAAACTTGCTATGATTAGAGGAGTGATAAACAACACCAACTTTTTCAGCAGAAACATGGGAGTAGGAAAATCCTTCAGACAGTGGGAAAATGCCAATAAAATCAAACTGCAACACCGGGAAGAGCGTTGCCCTTTGTGGGGCTGGGCGGGTTCCTCTGCTGCATGTCTCAGGCAGAGTAAAGGAAGAAACTGAGCTAGAGCTAAGGAAAAAGCCAGGGAAATTGCAGACAGAAAATATCTGCCATACCCTCACTATAAGACAGGTAGTTCAAGAAAGCAATAAATGCTGAAGGCTGCTCCTCACAGCCCTCAGAAAGGAGAGGATTAGATCTCTTCCCTATCCCAATCTACTCTGGAGCATGCTGAAGCATTGTGTTGGGGCAAGGAAAATAACCAAACATGACAGGGTGCAATGTCAAGGTGCACTTCGCACTGTTAAAGTAAACATGCACTTGGGTGGCTGCTGTAAGAGAAACACTGATGACAGACAAGGTCCTCTCGCTTCTTTTGCCTGATATCATCATTGACTATGCTCTCAGAAAACCCATCAGTGGATACAGCAGCCAGCAGCACCTGGTTCAACCTTCATGCAAAGGTTTTGTTGGCATTATGATTCACTGTACATGCACAGGATGAAAAGCAGGCAGCAGCAAAGGAAATCAGATGAAACCTAGCTGTGAAAACATATATATAATGAGAATCTCAGCTTCTTTGAATCCCATCTGCACATGAGGGCACACAAACTCAAATCAGTTCTTGTGTCTTGACAGTGGTGTACAAGGTAGTGGGGTAAAAACATACAAGCCAATGGTGGCAGCTGCTGCCCCAAGGTTAGCAAGACTTGTTCATTGAAGACCTACAGCCCTCCAAGGCAAACTGCAAACCTTCAGTGCTAGTTATTTCTATCTTCACATCTGGGTGTGAAAGCTGGAAATACCTTAAGAATCAGGACAAACGTGTAAGGGCTGTCTCTATTCAGGCCACCTATAAATGAGTCCTCCCAGTGCTTCCCGTGGTGATGGGGTTAGCAGGTGATGGAGGCTTGTCCAGGGAAGCTGCCACATAAGAAGTCAGTGTCTGGCAGCCCCACAATGCATGCAGTCTGAATGCCACCCTATATGCCTTCAGAGCTAGGCCCTGAGCAGAATCCTAGCTATTAACACTCTTTCACAAATATAATGAAATTTAACAAACTGAAGGTAGTGCAAAGAGCACTGTGCAACAAGCAGAGATGGCAGAGCTGTGCTCATTCCCTGTACATGTTGGATAGAACAGAAAATGTTCACATCCAGAAAAGAGAAATGAATTAATCAATTACAAGAGATAAATTCTACTAAAGACAATATGAATGTTGCAGCCCATTAATTTCAGCAGGAAGTTCGGATATTAAATTATTGAGTCTGGGCACAAGTCCACTTAAAATAATACAAATAATCGGGAGGTCAATTAACCACTGTAAAGGTCACTAAGGCTTAGAGGTGCAGCAGCAGAAGATCCCTTACTCCTCCTGAGCAGCAGCTTTGTTCATAAATTACTGTGTAATTGTTGCAGATCCACGGTGAATGGTGCCAGCAGCCAGGGAACTGCTGAGAGTCTTTGCACGGGGAAAATGACATGACTGAAGTGGATAGACTGAAAACAGGGGAGAAGAAAATAGCATACATGGTTCCCTCAGGGATGGGATCTCTTTCTGCACAAGTGTTTGGAGAAGGGACATGACTGCTAAATAGTGCTGGAATTTTCTCTGCAGCTCTAAGAAATGTTGTTCCTTCGTCTCAGCCCAGGCTCTGTGTGCTCCTCTCTCCCTGGCCGTGTCGCCACAAGTCACTGCATGAAGCTGGCTGTGAATGTGTGGCATCTGCTCCAGCCAGTACAGCCTACCACTGCCCACCTCACACAGGGCAGGTCAAAGTCTCGCTCCTTAGGACTGTCACAATGCATCTAGTACTGCTGTATCAGATATTGCATTTTGATCCCCAAACCACCAGAGAGTTACACTTCCAGGAGACAACAGCCCAAAAAGAAGCCAGAGAAGAGCTGGAAATGAAATACTCCCCAGCTAGGGAATTAAGTTCCAGGGCAGATTTTAAGAAATACTGCAAATTACTCTTCTCCAAAAAAACCTTTCTAGTGCAAAGTACTGATACCTCTTCAAGCCCTTTTTATACACATCCTCCTGTCAACACTGATGAAACATCCTACCCAAGGCAATGATTCTCACACGTGACACTAAGCAGATACTCTATGAAATCCACTGCTTTTGATATTGGTATTTTGTAAGAAGGCATTTCAGTAATGCTAACACGAAGGGCAATGAATAGTATTTGACAGTATTTAGAATGCAACAGAAGTAACATGCTTGCATTCCCTGAACTCCTTTGTTTTATGTTGCAAGAAGAACTCTGTAACAAACTTACATCAGACTAGCTGTTCAGCAAAAAGCATGTAGATTGACCTTACTGCTACTTTCAAGTTGTACTCTGTATGCAAGGCAGACTATTTCCTGCAGAAATAAATAAACCAGACTACAACATTACCTCTAGCAAGGATATGAAGTAGAATATGCTTAAAGAAAAGAAACTGGCACTATTTTCTTACATTTATAAGTGTGATAAATAATAGAAGAATTTTGCTTTCGCTAAAAGTAATTAAACAATTACTTTTATTGAATTAGGCTGAAGCTGTTATTAGTACAATGATACAAATTTTAAGAAAAGTAAAATAATTTACTAGTGGGAAAAGAGAAGAGAGGGGGGATTGATCAGAGGAAACACCAACCCAACAGCCCCCCCCCTTTTCCTTTGAAATGCTCACCAGATGGTCCATATCAAAGGATGGTAACTCCTTTGCAATGGAATGGGAAAGAACATGATGGGCCCTCTCTGTTATCTCCTGTTCTTGAGATAAGAGAGGAACTGGAGCCACTGAGCCATAAAGACAAAGGAGCTACAAATTAGCCCAGACTTGAAGGACAAGGTGTACGTGACCACAAGACTGAGTTTGCGCAGAAATCAGGGTCAACGAGCGAACACAGTGAAGAAGACTACGAGCCTTCATCTGAAGACCCCTGCCCATGACCACCAGGGAGCACTGCGCAAGCGCGACGGGAGGAATTTGGGTTGGGGGGGATATGTTAATGATTTCTCGGAACTAATTGTAATATTCCCTCCCTATCCTTAGAAGTAGTGATGCATATGTATTAGAGTAGATGAATATGTAACCATTTATACAATAAAAGGGAGCCCCTTTTGGCTCCAGGGCGCGCCATTGCGCCCAGCGCTGTATTCTTTGCTCCACTGACTTTGTCCCCAATAAAACTTTTTTTTATATATACGTGGGCTTGTTTCTCACAATTGGGGGCTCGTCCGGGATGACAGAAGCCTCACCGCCGTGGAGCCAGAGGGCCCTGAACGGAAGGCGCGCCCCGCTGAGTTCAGCGGTCTCTTCGGTTCCCTCCGGCGCCATCGGAGGTTGACGGTGACGATCCCGGCGGGGGACTCGTGGACCAAAGAGGGGGTTAGGGCTCCCTGGAGACCGCGGCAGCCATTAAACCTTGTGCACAAGATCCGGGCAACGAAAAGGGGACTGTAAGTAGTGTCCGGATGGCGGGATAGGGGGAGGACTGAAAGGTGTGTGTGTGTGAGACGCGAGGCGCCAGGTCGCACTTGCGAAGCGATTGTGGAGTCTTTCTAACCGCGGTTCCGTGCTCCCGCGAGGGGGACGGCCGGTGAAGAGACGAAGCGAGTGAAAATGAGTGAACGGCTCCCCCGGGAAAGGGGAAACAAGATACTTCAGTTAGTCTGGTTGAGTGAACAAGAAACTGGGAGCTAGGCAGTTGAGTTTCCCGGGATTGGGAAACAAGATACTCCAGTTAGTCTGGTTGAGTGAACAAGAAACTGGGAGCTAGATAGTTGAGTTCCCCGGGATTGGGAAACAAGATACTCCAGTTAGTCTAGTTGAGTGAACAAGAAACTAGGAGCTAGGCAGTTGAGTTTCCCTGGGATTGGGAAACAAGATACTCCAGTTAGTCTGGTTGAGTGAACAAGAAACTAGGAGCTAGGCAGTTGAGTTCCCCGGGATTGGGAAACAAGATACTCCAGTTAGTCTGGTTGAGTGAACAAGAAACTAGGAGCTAGATAGTTGAGTTCCCCGGGATTGGGAAACAAGATACTTCAGTTAGTCTAGTTGAGTGAACAAGAAACTAGGAGCTAGGCAGTTGAGTTTCCAGGGTAATAGGGAGCCAAAGATTGCCATTTCCCATACAGTCCATTAGGGAAAGGCTGGGAAAAAAAAAAAAAAAAAAAAAAAAAAAATATATATATATATATATATATATTTATATATATATATATATATATATATATGTGTGTGTGTATATATATATAAATTGGGATTATAGCCCATGTACCAGAGGGAAAAGTAAGATCAAGATGGCAAATTATTGTATGTTCGAATGGACTAAAGGACCTATCAGGGAAGATTCGGTGAATTGGCCAAAATATGGATCAGAAAAGGATTGGATTTGTCAAGCTCTTAATATTTATGTTAATTCAAAGGAACCATTTAATCAAGAAGAAAGTGAATATGCCTCATGTTGGAGGGGGTCGCAGAGATTTGGGATTTTTTTAATTGAAGCAGGAGGAGCAGGTTGAAGAAGGTGAAAGGGAAAGGAAGGAAAAGAGATGGGACCCTTTGGATAATTTACCCCCCCCATATAACCCGGCACACCTAGGAAATCAAGGGGTGCAGCAGGAAGATGCGGGTGAGGAGGCCCCTGTTGTTAATATCAGACCTGAAACCTGGCAGCAACGAAGGGGGGGGGAAATCGTTTAAGGGAGCACGGGGCGGCTAGGGTTAATCCCTTGCGGGGAAGTCCCAGCGGCAGGAATTCAAGGGGGGATGGGATTTGTGGATGTGCCGCTCACTAATGTAGAAGTGAGGGCGTATAAGAATGAATTTAGGAGGTTTTTAGAGGACCCTGTGGGGCTGTCAGAGAAGATTGATCAATTTTTGGGACCCAGTATATATATATATGGGAGGAGATGCAGTCGATTACGGGAATTTTTTTTTTTCTCTCCTGAGGAAAGACAGATGATCAGAACGGTTGGAATGTGGATATGGGAGAGAGAAAATCAGCAGGGGATACCCGGGGAAAGGAAACTCCCTGTAACCCCTCTGCAGTGGAATCAGAATGAACAAGAGCGGAGGAGAGATATGAGTGACTCTAGGTCATTATAATAAGTGTCTGGAGGAACTCCTGAGAGAAGCACAGAAAGTAGATATTAGGAAGGATGAAGAAAAGGCTAAAACTAAAGCTAAAATTATGATAACTGCACAAGAAGCTGTTAGAAATAAACACAAGAAATCTCAGACGGGAAATCACAATTTGAAACAGGCAAGGGAATGAAAGGGAAGGTGGAACCAAGAGGCACCACTGGCTAGGGAAATCACAAGGGAATGTTTTTATTGTGGGGAGGGGGGGGCATTATAAACAAGAATGCCCCCAGAGAATACGGGACCTGTTGGTGTTTGAAGTAACCCAACAGGATGAGGGTGGTAATCACTAGGGGTGTCAGGGGCTCTACCTCCTGGGGGATATACCAACAGAAGAGCCCTTGATAAATTTGAAATTAAGACCCCAGGAGGAAGATTATGTAAAAGATACAACTTGGGCTGTAGGGGTTAAAGGTGAAGGGGTTTTCGGTCCCAGTTATAACAAATGTGTTAATACAGGGGGAGGATCAATATGCTGTTAATGATCTGTTAATGCCAGGGGTAGGATGTAATTTGCTGGGTAGAGATTTACAAGTGCAATTAGGAATAGGTGTGGTACTGGATGAAGGAAAACTAGTGGTTAAATTACTAGAATTATGGGAGGAGAATCGGGGAGGATATTTAGGAACCAGAGCGTAACTGTTTGGATTTTATAAATTATCAAACGAAAATAAGAAAAGATCTGTTAAATAAACCTTTGCCCTATAGAGAAAAACTATTTATTGGTGGGTCCTCTCGATGCCTAGAAGGAAAAATATTGGGTTATGTAATTATCGAGAGGCAGAAGATGGAAGTGTTTGAAAAGGGGAAATTACCTGCTGGGTGGTTAGCACAAGTCTGAACTCTATGCCCTAAAACAGACATTGGTATATTTGAGAGATAAGGAAGGGACAGTGTACACAGACTCAAAGTATGCATTTGGAGTGGTCCACACATTTGGAAAAATATGGGAAGAAAGAGGGCTTATAAATACAAAAGGGAAGGAGCTAGTACATGAGCGGCTGATCAGAGAAGTTTTAGAAGCCCTGAAGCTCCCCACAGAAATTGCAATTGTGCATGTGAAAGGACATCAGAGGGGAGCATCAATGGAAATAAGGGGGAATAATTTAGCAGATTAAGTAGCCAGAGAAGCAGCTACAGAATCATCATTGGTAGTTTTATTGGTAATAATACCAGGGGATTATGAGAATTTAGCCCCAAATTTCACAGAACAAGAAAAGGATATACTTAAAAATAAGGGGGGAAAAGATTCAGAAGGAAAATGGACTTTAGCAGATGGAAGGCAGATGTTAAATAAAACGAGATCATGAGAAATTCTGTCATTAATACATCAGAAAATACATTGGGGAACGCAATCACTTTGTGATCATTTCCTTAGACAATATGGGTGTATAGGAATACATATATGGTGGCTAAATAACTAGTTGATCGATGTTTGATTTGTTAAAAAGTGAACAAAAAGGTAATGAGATAAAAAAAAAAAAAAAAAAAAAAAAAAAAAAAGGGGTGGCTGGGGAACAGGAGCTAGCCATACAAAGCCTCCAGGTAGACTTAACAGAGCTACCTTAAATACAAAGGTGGAAGTATTTGTTGGTATTAGTGGCTCACTTAACTCATTGGGTGGAAGCAATCCCCCACACCAAGGGCAATGGCAAGCATGGTATCCAAGGTGTTACTGGAAAACATTATCCCCAGATATGGATTAATAGAAAGAATAGACTTGGGCGGAGGAACACATTTCATTTTAAAAATTATATACAACAGCTATCTGAAGCCTTAGGGATCGAATGGGCATGGCACACCCCATGGCATCCTCGGAGTTCTGGAAGAGGAGAAAGAATGAATCAAACTTCAAAACAAACCTTGACTAAGTTAATGATTGAGACTCAGATGTCTTGGATTAAATGCCTGCCATTGGCCTTATTAAGGATCAATACTCAGCCACGAACAGATCTGGGTATTTCTCCCTATGAAATGATGCTTGGATTACCATGTATGAGTAATGACAGGGATATTGTCATCCCTGAAGTAGGAGATCAATATGTAAGAAAGTATGTAATAAGAATTGGTAACACTTTAATGAAATTAAGAAAGAAAGGACTTCTGCCTCAAAAGCACTATTGGCTTTTAATATCCACAATGTAAAACCACGTGATTGGGTATTGATAAAAGTGTGGAAAGATTAATCATTAACTCCCGAGTGGGAAGGTCCATTTCAGGTGCTGCTGACCACCGAGACAGCGATCCGAACAAAAGAAAAGGGGTGGACTCTTGCCTCCTGAGGAAAAGGACCGGTGGAAAAGCCTCAGGAGTGGACTGTGGTAC